TGCACTTTTAAAGAAATATTCATTTTTGGACTCTCACGCATGATGACACAGAACTCCAACGATGTGGGTGTTTTTATTTAATTTTAGTGCTTTGGACTATCTTTTTCTTTTAGCTAAAATAAGAAACAACAATTTAACGTGGCTCACAATTGTGTTTTTACTTTGTATATCTTGCGTGTATTTCTAGAAAAAAAAATAGTTGATTTAACTTTTAATAATATACCTTGGCCTTTTTCTTGATAGGAGATATACTTATGTACGTTTTGTTTTGAACAAACAATTCATGAACTACCTCAAACTTGACCTTCTCGAACACAATTTCTTGGCCTTAGGAAAATAAATAAATAAAATAGAAAAATAAATGGATGTACAAGCACAAAAATAGATCGATTTCTTTGTATTTTCTTTTATATGACATCTCATTCACATATGAGAAAGTAGTGCCTCTGGCTTAGATTCGTTGTCGTTTCTTCTGTAAAATTTTAATAAACAGAAATGGTGGACGTCAAACTGTTCACACACAAACACATAGTTTGAACTCTCTCAAAATTAATATATGGACTTCCATAGTTTATTTTCTCTGAAAAAAGCATCACGCATAGTTGAATCGCAACTCAACTTTTATATTTTTGTACGTTTGTAGTTTGGAGAAAAATACCATTTGTTGTACCAACTTAAAAGGACACCTAGTTGGAAAACTAGTGGTCAATTCTTAATTGAAAACGTGGTGCTTTCATCCCCACACATTCCAATCTTGCTATGCTCTCTCTCTCTCTCTGTGTGTGTGTTTGACTTTACTTTCCTCTTCACTGTAGTATGAAATCCATAGCAGAAAACAACAGCGGTTTGATGCGAATAGAATGTGTCCAACAAAATTTCTTGCTGCTGCTCTATCCTCTGTAGATGAAGCATAAGGAGCAGGCTGCTAGTGGGGAAGGACATTCGCTGGCCTCAAGAAGCAGCCCAAATTGACAGCAACAAGGCCAGCAGCAACTCAGTACCATAGCCTCACGCACGGGGCAGAAGGTGCCAGGGAAACACAACACACACACAGAGAGTTGCGGTGATAGCTGCCAGGAAACCGCGGAGCGCCATGTGCGACAGCAACGAGAGATGCCGGGGAAGGTCGAAAACATGCATCGTGGAAGGTCGGTCAGAGACGCCAGAGTAGCTCACAGGTGAGGGATGCGAACATATGTCAGACGATTTGCACTGCATCCTAGTCATCACTCACTCATCAGTCCAGGTCAAAATTTCCACGTAGTTCAAATAAATGATGTTACAGGTTTTGAAGATGAACAAGAATAGGGGTTGACTGCTGCTGCTTGAAGAACAAGAACGGAATCTGCGACGGCTATCACAGGAGAGGTTGTGATGCTTGGGAAGCAGGCAATAGGCCCTGCCGTGGGGAAGTGCCAGCGCCGACCTACTCTACCCTCCAGCGCGACCTGCCCTCTCTTCCTACGCGACCTGCCGTGCGTCCCGCGCTGTGCTCCGGCGTGCTCACCTCCAGTGCCCCCTTCCTTGCCCCAGTCCATGCGCAAGCTCTCATCCAACAACCGCAGCCAGGGCCTCGAATCACCGATCCCGCTGCCATATCGTGCATACAGCGCCGCCGCACCGGGCCTCCGCCATTGATGCACCATGCATCCTCCTCCATGCTTCTTGCCCCACCAGCGCAACGACCAAGAGTTCCTTGGCCACGGCAAGCAAAGGGCGACGACGGTGATGGTCGGGTCGGAGAGCGGTGACGTAGGTGGATGGGGAGGAGGGCGGCGAGGGACGATGGCGACGGCGCGATCCGTAGCGAGGGATGATGGTGCTTGCACGATCCGCGGCAAGGGACGGCGGCGGCGGCACGATCCGCGGCGATGGATGGTGGCGGTCGTGCGATCCACGACGTGGGACGACGGCGGCGGTTGGGAGCGATGGCGTGTTCCGGGCGGGGACATCTGGGCTATTCTGTTACGCGTAACAGAATATATTCTGTTACCCTACTTGAACTAATGAATTCAAGCGGCTGAACTGATGAAATTCGAGCGCTTGAACTGATGCTTTTTGTTTGTGTTAAAAATCGTCTTCTTTAGTTCAATTGTTTTGCAAATTTTTTTGTCGAAACGGGGCATGTAATATATCGTTGGAAAGCTCTTAACATCTACATTACAATTTTATAATTTGTTTTTGCAAAAATATTATGGTTTAAGAGCAGTTTTGAAAGAACGTTTTTTTCAAAACCGAAAACGCAAAACGTATTTTGGACTTAATTTTGAAACGGTTTGTCGGAATTGAGCAAATGAGATGGCGTTGGACAGCTTGTGAAAATCCACATCTTCCACATACCTACTATTTTTTTCAAATTCTATATGATTTAAAAGTAACTTGAAAAATGGTGAAATTCTGGGCGAAACGTATTTTCGCTGTTTTTTGCAAACGCTTTGTCGGATTGACGCAAATGATACGGCGTCGGAAAGCTATGGAAAATGCGCAACTTTTGTGTATAAAAAGTTTTTTCTAATTCCTTGCGGTTTTAATACGAATTCAAATACGGTGAAATTTGGTTTTAAACACGATTTTTTAGAAAAGTTTATCAAAATGGGGCAAATAATATATCGTTGGAAAGCTACCGAAAATGCTAAACTTAGTCATGTTGAACGTTTTCTCAAATTCACAACCATTTAAGAGTAATTTGAAATACGGTGAGACCCATCGTGCTGTTTTTTCGTCTGAAAAACAGAATACTCATATTGATTTATGTGTTTGTTTGTACTGAGGTATTTTTCATAGAGTATTTTGAATACGGAGAGACCGATTGTGTTTTTTCGATTCAAAAATAGAGTAATCGAACTGATCTCCGTATGGATTTGTATAGAGCGTGTTTTCACCGACCAAAGAACATTCTTTTAATAAAACATGCTATCTTTTTTCTGGCCGTGAAATTGTTTTCATTGAACCTCCCTATGGCCTTGGTTGAACTATTAGGTTTTTTTCTGACTATATTGAACCGGCGCAATGCCTTGCATTAGCTAGTTAAATATTTTTACATGAGGAAAGACTGTTATGGGGTGTGTGTATACATTGCTTTACGTTGTAACCCCTTGATCCGATGCATGTTCACCCCTTGAACCGACGCATGTTCATGAGAGAACTGATGTTGTTTTGCAAGGTGAACTTTCCGTATAACTCGCAACAAGTTGGCACCATGTTCACTACAGCAGCTATGCAATATAGGAAACAAACTTTCACCCAAAAACTGAGAACAAAAGGCTTCATGTGCAAATTCCATTAGGCACCAAACAACAGTTCTCCAACAATACAGTCCAAGAGTCCATAGAGCATTTTGTTCAAGATTTCATATATGCACTTGATTTTATACATGAGAACAAAATGCTTCCCAGAAAGTAAAGAAAGTTCATAGAGTATATCTCTTTGTTCAAAACACACACTATGATACTAGAACTACTGAGAGTTCTCCAACAATACTCTATGAACAGGTCTAGGAGTTCACAGAGTTTTCACTCCAGGAACACTTTATGAACATGTCCAAGAGTTCATAGAGTTCTATGTAAAAAAATGATATAGGAGTAACAGAATTACTACCAACAAGAGAGAGGTTCCCATTTGATTTCACAAAAAATGTTGTATCCTCCAAACAGTAGTACTGAGGCCAATAAAGCATTGGAGCAACCTGGGCACAAGTGCAGAAAAGTTATACAATATATCCCTCATTTTGAACTACTATCACAAAAATCGGACATAACTGGACGGAGGGACTTGCTTCAACCATAACTGCTATGTTGTCTCCTTCTTATCAAACGAGCAGACTAATTGTACATATGGTTTTGTTGGAAATAAACCTGCATACCCTGGAGTCTGCGAGCGGGTTGGACTAGATCCCAGGGGCCCATTCGGCACCAGTTTTTTTGGAAATGGAGGCGTGCCCCTAGCCTCTGCATCATAATTCGGCACCAATTGCTCCCTGCATTTAATCATAACAAGTCATGAGTTCCCATAACAAGTTCAAACACATTCTAAGTGACTTGCACAATCAGTTTCATATTTGTGTAACCAAGCAAGTTCATGTTCAGTAACTTTAGAAGTTCCCAAAGAAACCTAAAAAGATTTCTACTTTGAAATACTTCATTTTTACTCCCCAAATACTTCATTTGTTTTGAAACATGAACTTCTACATTTATTTCCTTAGAACTTGTTATCTTTCCCCTGTGAATTCCATGGGGGTTTTGTGTTTCATTATTTTTGTTTATGTTGTTTTCTATTTTGTATGTACTTATAGGGTTATACATGTTGAACTTATAGACCAGTGGTGCTCAGACGCAGGGGGTAGGCGACAGCGGCATGTTGGACTACGCTGGACATTTTTTCTGCACTAGATAGTGTGTAGACATGCTGCCAAGGTCACACACATGTTTTGCTAGAACAAGTTGACTGAATATCTTTTCATTTTGAACTTTGAAAGAAGCTACAACTTCTGTTGCCCAAATGTGTATATAATTTTAAGTTTTCCAAGCACATACCTTTCTGTTCTTGTTTGTTGACGGGCACGCCGCCCCTACTCCTACGGACTGGCGGCGCCGACGAAGTGGAGCTGAAGGAGCAAGGATCACGAGCAGCCTATGGACTGAAACTTACTGCGAATGGTTCGACACCAATGACATGTTTGGAAGGGCAATGACAGTCAACATCTTATAGCCCCCTATTTTGATTAAAAAAAGATCAAGGCTTCGGTATGAACAACTGAATTGTTAGCAATGTACAATCAACATATTTTTATTTTGAATTTTTTTCTGAACTTATTAAGTTTCTATGTATGCACATATAAAGTTTCCAAGCATGAACTTTTTGCTATGGGAAAACTGTAACATGCATATACGCACTAAAGACTCTGCCTAATGAGCATAGTATGATAGCAAAACGAAGCAACAAGTTACTGAGATTAGCAACCAATAGTAAATGATGTCTGACCGAAATATGCAAAAGACAAGTCACAGTGATGAACTTACATCTCCATCTTCCTCTTTCAAATGGGAAAAAGTAACAGCAAACACATAAATTGTGCTACATTGTGTTTGTGCTTCTCTTGTTTGCTGAGAAGAATGAGAGTGAGAGTTATAACTGAAAAATGATACAATTATTTGATACTATAATATCGATTTAGATAGTTGAAGAAAGACCAATTATTACAATATTGTGAAAAAATGTTATATATGGCAGTTCTATGTGAGTTAAGAAAAAGGTTCAAAGTGTGTTTACGAAAATGCTGAGACAGATATATACTTACATTGCTGGTCTTTGATTTATACTGACAACGTATATTTTGTATTTAATTTCTACACCTTTCTCCTAAAACCAATATCAAGTATACATACACAGTAAGAAAAGGTTTTGGCTGGGATGAAGGAATTATCTTCATTACTGTTATGTCTTGCAGGAACTTGGTAGAACTGTTTTGAGTCATATATACTTATTTGTGGAGATATCCATTGAGGTATCTGGTCAGCTCTGTTGACTGTGGCAAGGGAATGCCGGCTCTAACAATGTAAGCTCTTTGTTTTCGGTGATTTCAACTATTTGTCCTATGCCGAATTTCTGAAACTATCAATGTGTATGTAGATCAATAGACCACTGATGCATAGTATATGTTTCAATTCTACCAGACCATATCGATACGCTATGCACGTGGTGGCAGTACATTTTTTTTCTTGGCAGTAGATCATGTTGACACTTTGCACCATTCTTTCGCTCTGTTGACTGAGACGGGGTATCCTGTTCTCTCCACCTTCCCTTGGTTTGTTCTTCAGTTCAACAACCATTTCGCTGAGCTATATGAAACCTTACATTTTGGATGTATACACAACCAAAAAAATAGAAAAAATAGAACTTTCATTAGTAATATCAAACTTGTATGTGCTTGACTAAAAAAGAATGATTTCATTGTCATTATCCAAAGTTGTACGCTGGACTAAAAATTTCCTTTTTTATCTTTAGTTCTGAACCTTTTTTTCGAACTTACTACTCTATTTGCGTAGATTATCCTCCCGTCAGTTTTGTGATTTTAGAATAAGTTTCAGCCCTTGAGCAAGAGCTCGTCCACCACGGGTGATCGCAGTTGTCCAAGTCGAGTCCTATATATACCTACGTACCCCCAAACTACCAGATACGGAGAAAAAACCCTAATTCCACCGCCGTAACTTTCTGTATCCGTGAGATCCCATCTTGCACTACTAGGGAAAACCCTAGCAGTAGCGCTGGTTTTGTGCTCACTAGTAGCGCGGGTAGGCGCACTACTAATAAGGCGCTACAGCTATTGCTTAGCAGTAACGCGTGCCCGCACGCGCTACTGCTAGGACAAATAGCTGCAGCATTTGTTCACTCCCACGCTACTGCTATTGTAACTACTGGCAGTGTGTTTTCTCTCCATCGCTACTAGTATTCTTTTTATTTTTTTTATTTTTAGTGTATTTATGCGCCATCGTACAAATATTGGTACAATATCAGCTATGAGGTTTACATCATTATGTCCATAACAGTGTGTCAAATGAAGGTGGATTAGGTTCAAGTGGAGGCAATATGTGGTGCACGTCAAAAGTATACTACTAATCCAAACTTGTTCAGTTTGGACTAGTAGTACTTTCGATGTGCACCACATGTTGCCTCCACTTGAATCTAATCCACCAGCACAAGCTATTTAATCATCATCATAGTCATTACCACCAATAGTATTTATTTAATCACCACTAACACTAGCTAATAATAATCATCATAGTCATTACCACCAACACTAGCTGTTTTATCATCATAGTAATAGTGTAGCACATCATCATCCTCAAACTCATTTCTAGCTAGCTAATCACTCCTGCTGCTCTCTCTTAGGTAAAATAACATAAAACATGTGTAGCTCTCCTCCTTGATCAATTTAGAGCATGCAGATGAACCTGTCTCCTAGTCGTGGGTAGCGCATCTATTTGCTGCCCCCTAGTACTTCTCTGCGCTTCTCCATCACACATTTGGTCCAGTATTGCACTATTAAGCATCCGTCGCTAATCTTGAATGCACTAAAGTAATCTGTAGGATATCTTGGCCGTAATCTAATAATACTCATGGTACCTTTAGTCTCGATCCCATAAGGCACAACTTTCATCGGGAGTCCCTGTTAAAGAACATCGTATGGTTACATACTTAGCAATGAAGTTTAGCTTCAAAAATAATGTATGGAAAAGATGCACTGAGGACAAATAGTAAAAATCTTACCATCCTTCCTAAATAGATGTGACCGTAGTTCATTACGAACACTATTGGTCGCACGTTTTCAGTACTAACATTTCTAAATGCAGGAAGAAAATTTGTCTTGACAGTATCAAGATCCTCAAGCCATGAAACATAATGACTTAGCTCCTCGTAGTTTAGTTCAGCCTCGGGACAGTAGTAGGTCCTGTCTACCAAGCGCTGGACATGTTTGCTTGCACCAAAATAAGCTGACAATACAAATTAGTTGTCAACTATTTTTGAATAAACAATATCAAAGACATAAATATGGTTGAGAAACTTACATAATGGTATAACTGGAGGCGTCTGCACATCGACCCAGATGTTGATATTACCTTCAGTATCATCTTCCGGATGAATATCAAAGGTGATAACCATATCAGGCTCAAATGCATAAGTCTTGCATAGTGCTCGTCATGTTTTGCATCCAAAATAGGTGTAGTCTTCTGAATTGTATAATTTTGCATGGAAAATATAACCATGCTCGGTCTTCAAGTAAACTTTCTTTTCCTCCATAGTACGACTGGAACCTATCTTATCCAATACAAAAAATCTTGCATGGCAGGGGATACGCTAGTAGAATAGTAAAAAAAGACTTGTCATGCTTAAATTATAAGTTGAATCAAATGAAGCAAATGTCATGCTTAATTACGAAAAAAGACTTGTCGTTGTGACTTACTGTATCCACTTCGAAGTTCTCATCCAGCTTGGAGGTGTAACCTGGAAACATGACCGGCCACTTGGGCAAGCACATATCCTATTTGAGCAACACAAGATATACATTTCAAAATATCTTATAGGACTCAAATTAGCATGCATTCAATAAGCAAAAGCAAATTATCTCATGCATCCATACATCGTCGAATATTATCACTAATACATCCCGAATAGTGTCATACATACAACATCACTAATACAACTAAAACCCTAGCACACGACGGGTATCGGCGCAGGCGGTGGACACCCACAGAGAAGGAACCATCACGGGATCATAGCTCCAGTGAGATCCCTGGAGAACCTGCCAAGTATTGGAGAACCTATGCTCCAACGCAAACAAGTAGCGACGGACGTGCGCCTCCTCCTCACTGACACGGTGACGCACCACCTCCGTGGGGTCCTCGAGCCTTTGGACCGTCACTGGCCCATGCGGCCGCCACCAAAGAAGGTTCGGGTCAACGACAGGATGGCTCCTCACCAACCTGCGCCCCCCCGGTAGGTAGCGCCTCCCAGTACCACCCCGGCGGAGCCCAGTCCCGGACATGGCCCATCTGGTGAAGCAGGTGTCGTCCTCCGCCGAGTCGACGACGAGGAGGCGAGATAGGCATCGTCCACGTTGATGCGGGAAAAATTGCTTTAACTAAAAAAATAGCGACAAGTTCTTATTAACTAGTTCTATTAATTCAACTAGTTCTTATTAAACTTACTATAAATAAAAATAAACTAGTACCTAATTAGTACCTAGTTCTTACTAACTAATTAGTACCTAGGAACTACTGCCCTAATTACCATCTAATTTGATGAAGCTAGGGGTGGAAAGTGGTAGCGGATATGCCAATTATCCAACTATAAAGTGAAATAAGTGGTCAAATTTTACTCATTTTATGATTCATCTTAGAAATTTGATTCGTTTCCACCCTTAGATGAACCCTAACTCATTTGAGCCGCATCCGCATCCGATTCGTTTCCACCCTTACATGAACCCTAACTAATTTGTTGCAACTAAAATATAAAGAAACCCTAGGTAGAGGTAGGGGAGAGGGAGGGGCAGGTGTGCTCACCTCGAGTGCCTGCGACGAGGGAGCGGCAGGAGGCGTCGAGGTCGGGGTCGGGGCTCGGGCGCGCGGCGGATGGCGGCGTCGAGGTCAGGGTCGGGGGCGGCATCCGGGGCGATGTTGAGGTCGGGGGCGGGGGCGGGGTTGAATCTGGGGTCGGGAGCGGCGTAGATGGTGTGCGGAGAGCGCGCGGCGGCTGACGGGCGACAGCGGCAGCGAGAGTGGAGAGCTGGATTTGGGGGAAGTGGCTGTGGGGAAGGATGAACCCTGTGGTTAAGTCTGAAGTAGCAGTAGCGCGTTCCAGAAAGCGCGCTACTGCTACGTTAGCTACAGCGCGTTCTGGGATACACGCTACTGCTACTCCTTTCTCTTTCCCCCCTTTTTCATTTAGTTCTCTTCACATTTTATTTTTTTCCTTTCACCTTATTCTATTTCTTTCATTTTCAATTACCTTTCTATGTGCTTTCCATTTAATTTTATATCCTTTAGCAGTAGCGAGTTTAGAATAAAACGCGCTGCTACAAAGAAAGTAGCGGTAGCGCGGTTCGATATAGGTCGCTACTACTATGTGTAGGCTATCGTCTAAGCCGTGGTAATTTTAGTAGTAACGTGTTTAGAACAAGACGCGCTACTGCTAAAACTTTATCTACAACGCGGTTTGCACAGGTTCGCTACTGCTACTTAGCACCAGCGTGCTTCTTTGACCCGCGCTACTGCTAAAGTTCTGTGAATAAGGTTTTCCTAGTAGTGTTGGGGCCTTTTCCGGAGCTCCATCGTAGGGGGCATCGATCACGGAGGGCTTCTACATCAACACCATAGCCTCTCCGATGAAGTGTGAGTAGTTTACGTCAGACCTTTAGGTCCATGGTTATTAACTAGATGGCTTCTTCTCTCTTTTTGGATCTCAGTACAAAGTTCTCCCCCTCTCTTGTGGAGATCTATTCGATGTAATCTTATTTTGCGGTGTGTTGTTGAGACCGATGAATTGTGGGTTTATGATCAAGTTTATCTATGAACAATATTTGGATCTTCTCAAAATTCTTTTATGTATGATTGGATATCTTTGCAAGTCTCTTCGAATTATCAGTTTGGTTTAGCCTACTAGATTGATCTTTCTTGCAATGGGAGAAGTGCTTAGCTTTGGGTTCAATCTTGCGGTGTCCTTTCCCAGTGACAGTAGGGGCAGCAAGTCACGTATTGTATTGTTGCCATCGAGGATAACAAGATGGGGTTTATTTCATATTGCATGAGTTTATCCCTCTACATCATGTCATCTTGCTTAAAGCGTTACTCTATTCTTTTGAACTTAATACTCTAGATGCATGCTGGATAGCGGTCGATGTGTGGAGTAATAGTACTAGATGCAGGTAGGAGTCGATCTACTTGTCTCGGACATGATGCCTATATACATGATCATACCTAGATATTCTCATAACTATGCTCAATTCTGTCAATTGCTCAACAATAATTTGTTTACCCACCGTAATACTTATGCTCTCGAGAGAAGCCACCAGTGAAACCTATGGCCCCCGGGTCTATTCTCCATCATATTAATCTTCCGTCAACAAGCTATTTCTTTTTCCATTTATTTTGGTTTCTTTACTTTGCATCTTTATCATAAAAATACCAAAAATATTATCTTATCATATCTATCAGATCTCACTTTCGTAAGTGACCGTGAAGGGATTGACAAGCCCTTTATTGCGTTGGTTGCAAGGATTTTATTTGTTTGTGTAGGTGTGAGGGACTCGTGCGTGGCCTCCTACTGGATTGAT